ATCATCATCATCATCATCATCACCACCACCACCACCACCATCAGAAACTTTATTATCATTTATCAACCCCATCTTCACTCATCCTCACCGCGACCACGAYCACCATCACCATCATTCATCATCACCATCGTTACAACCACCAACACCACCATCATTATTCTCATCATTCTCCTCGTCATCAAAGGTTGTGTTTTTAAGTCAACCGTTTTACTATTCTCTTTATGTACATTCGACTATTTATGGGCATCTTTCACTTACAGCAAAGTGTCTTTGGAAGGCCTTGGGTCCTCTGTAAAYATAACAACAACACGTGGTAATTCAGTAAAAACACTTAAAGCTAACACAAGTAGAGCTCTCCCTCCCTCTTTCCTTTGCTACTACTTTGATTTTCTCTCCCCGTACGTTACGAAGTTATGAGACTTTTCTTTTCTCACGTAACAGTTCCTCTGTGTCTTCTCTTATAGAAAAAAAATACTTGAAATCTAAAGCCCCTACAGCCAATGTCGTTCACAATTCATGGTTCTGACCGACTCCCCTTAGTTATTGTTTCTATGCCCCACAAGCTTAACAAATTACCTAGAATATCTCAGAAAACCAACCTCCCTTTTCAAGGTCCTAGCGACGGGCAGAAAAAAGCCACCGTGAAATCCCTTCTTTATATGCATTCTTTTAGTTGACATCTAACAAAACTCGAATCAATGTGTTTGAGTGCGATGTCTTGGTACGTTGTTTGTGCCAGTGAAAAATGTCTCTGACCTCCTTAATCACAAACTATCATGTCATTCATCATGACACTTATTAGTCAGTTGATATACTGTTCAGTGTATAACCTCGTTAAATAAAGTTGCTTATCATTATCATTATTATTATTATCATTATTCATAGAGTGAAGCGTTTAACCCGTGAAATAAAACATACTAGTCAACGTGTAATAGTCAAATAGACACGAAAGAAAACAATGGAATTAGGGTCTATTAATGTGTATTAGTCTAATATCTATTTCACGGGTTTAGTGACTTCACTCTAGTCAAATAGACACAAAAGAAAACAATGGAATTAGGGTCTACTAATGTGTATTAGTCTAATATCTATTGCACGGGTTTAGTGACTTCACTCTAGTCAAATAGACACAAAAGAAAACAATAGAATTAGGATCTAYTAATGTGTATTAGTCTAATATCTATTGCACGGGTTTAATGACTTCACTCTAGTCAAATAGACACAAAAGAAAACAATGGAATAAGGTCTACTAAAGTGTATTAGTCTAATATCTATTGCACGGGTTTAGTGACTGCCATGCGGTGTACTGACCTGTAGGTATAGTTACCACAGATTTCACAGCTATAACTAATGTTCAGACCATGGAGCTTGTATAACCAATAAGGAATAGGCTATAAAAAATAAAAAATTTATCATTTCTAATAATAATTAACTCATCTTCCCCTTCTATATGTATCTGGGTATTTTTGAAAACTAATATTTTTCTTTCCGTTCACATTTATCTGGTGAATACGCCACTTGTTAAAAATGCAACTTTTCGAAAATGCTTTCCTAAAAATTAAAAAAAATTGCTGTTTTTAATTTATCATGTCAACAGATGTAAACAGAAGTTTTCGAAAACGCTGACATCTTTGTATCAGACAGGGTTCGTGCTACATTTTCGTTACAAAATTCAAGGACTTTTTAAGCATTTCTCAAGCACAAAAGTTCAATTTTCAAGGACAAAGTTTTTTGTATTAGAACGTGGTTTAARCATTGATTCAATGTTACAGTGCAGCTAATTCAGCCGGGGCCACTAGCTGAGATAAATAGATCTTTAATATACGCATTCTTACCAGAAGTACCCAGATATTCAGCTAGGCTATTTACGAAATATACGAAAACTCTTCAATCAATTTTAATCGTTATATATTTCAAAAGGAAAGTTAGAAATAGCATTAAGTTTGCATTAAATTCAGGGAGTATTCCAGGAGTTTTGGCGTTTTCCCCTATTTTCAAGAGCTTTTCAAGCGCCCTTAAAAACGCGTTTGAATCAATTCAAGGGCTTTTCAAGGATTTCAAGGAGTAGCACGAACCCTGATCAGATAACTCTGTATGCTGAAATGGTTCTACAGAACAAGAGCTAAATCTTTATTTTTGCAATATTTTTAACTTTTGTAATTTTATGTATTTTTGTAATATTTTGTATTTTTATTCTAAGTTACTTACTTTTCCATCCCATCCCAAGGGAAGGTTCTTTGGGTTGTACAAAACTGTTTCTTCATCGTCTGATTCTGCCTCCTCTCCCTCCTCATGTTCATCTTCTTCCTAAAAAAAACACACGAAAATCTCTTCATACATTAAAAATAGTCTCTTTTCTTAGTCGGTAAAAACCGCTGTGTTTTATAACTAAAGACTAATTYGTACAGGTTTAGCCTCGTTTAAAAGCAAATTATTTTCTAAAGTCAACTGAAATGGAAAGAATGTACAAGTAAAGTTGAACAACACCAAAGTATTGAAATCTCACAAACTCTTATCGTTATCTGTGAATAGCAGACTTATATTACAAGTTTAGTTTAGTTTTGTTGTTGTCAGTATGGTGTCGATGAAGATGATGCATGATGCTGCTACTGATAATGATGGTGATCATGATACTGATGATGATGATGGTGGTGGTGATGAAGATGATGC